TAAACATACTGATTATTTCTAAAAAATAAAATAAATATTTGGAATATAATTCATGTTTATATTAAAAAAAAAAAAGGTTGTCGATACTGTTTTTTTCTCCAAAACTATATTTCCTCGCATCTATATCTATATCTATATAATAAGAATAACCATTTACTAAATATAGTAGTCAAAAATTTTTTAGAGCAATTAATGCATAACTTTTTTGGAACCTTTTAAATATATTCTGTAATTGTTTCCATATACATGTTTTCGAAGATATGATCAAAAATATTGTTTCCTTAAATGATTTTATTAATATCTGCAATAATTTTATTGATATCCATTATAATAAATTACATATTGATTTTTCGTTATTCATGTTGATAATATTTTGGTCAAGATAAATATTACATCATATTTTAAGTTCTAACCACATTATTAAATTTTTTTAACAAATATTCACTTTTGATCTAAAAATATTTATAGAAAATCGTAATAGGTTAGGTAGAATTTTTTCTTCCAATTAATTAGACGAAATCAAGTTGTTGAGTTAATCTTTGCCAATATAATTTTTTTTAGCTTTATTTCGTTATATATAAAAAATAAATTATTTTTAAAATTAACATAATTTACCATTTAAGATATAATGACCAGATACATTGAATAGGATTACTAATGGTAAAAAATTTAAAATAAAATATATTAATTGTTCTAGTATTTATTGATTATTTTTTTATTATTTTTTATTTTGATTATTTTCTATAATTAATTTCTTGCAAAATATATTTTCATTGCGAAGTATGTTAAATAAACTATAAATCTCTTTAATGCAAATTAGAAAATTCTTGATTATAGAAGGGGTTGTGTTTTTGGCATTTGCTAAATCGAAGTTGATTAATTAGTACAACATTAAATTAAAAAAAAAAAAAAACATGTGTGTATATTTTGTAAAATATTTATACACTATTTAATTTTAAATTTATTTAAATATTTTAAATTGATTACATAAATAAATAATACTATAGTGCATTAAATATTTTTCATTACATAAATTAAAAATAAAAAGAAGACGTACAACTTCTATAACTTTTACCAATAACAATGACATTACATGACAACAATTTTTATAATAAAATAATAATTAAGTATTATATGGTGAACAATAATAAGTAAAACTGTTATTTTCTCTTATATTAATGAATAAATTTATATACTAAAATCAAATTTATATTAGTATAAATGTGATAGTGAAATAATATATTAATTATTTTACTAACTAGCCCAAAATATGCTCATATTTAATGTTTTGGCTAAAAGACAACACTGATTAAAAGAAGTGAAATATAGATGATAGCATTTTAGACTTAAACGGACAGAGCTTGTGAAAACAACTCATTTGATATCTTTGTGTCGTGCATCGCACGGGTATGCACTAGTTTATGTAAAACCTGATGCATCTAAAAACTTGGAAACTCGAATAATCACACTCTATAATACTTCACCAAATCTTCCAAAATTTTTATCAATTTCTACACTCAAAGTACATGATGAATGAAAGTCCTCTGTTTGGCAGGACAGATTACTATTTTCTCTAAGGCACACAGTAAGTAAATTTTACACAGGGTATACATTATCTTATGCAGTCTAAATTTTACTGCATTTTGTTTCTCATTGTTGTCATGGTAAATAAATTTTAATGTATGGTAAAAACCAGCTTACTGACTACAGTTCATCGTTGGCCGAACGATCCTGGGACTTCAATTTTTTGTTGATTAGTGATGCTAAGTCCTTCACACCGGATTTTGTTGGGAGCTTGATCTGCAGATGTATACGCATTCGCTATTATCAATGAAAAACTCGGTAAATAAAATTACAGTTACCAATTATTACATCATTAAAATTTTACCGGATCCGACTTGGTAGCTGGGTAGAAGAGTAATGTTGGGTAGTCCTCAACCTGCAATTTTTCAAAATGATCATCATTCTTGAAAATTACACATTGGCACACTCGTATTTATTCATCTTTTACTAAAAATTGCACATTTCGAAGGGACTTTACCTGTAATTTTGGATGTTCGTTGGTTGAAGCATCGATTCTAGCAAAAACGAGGTCCTCCAAACCATTGAAATGCTTGGCCAATTTTTCCACTTTCTTGCTCGTGGCTTCACATGTTATGCACCAAGGCGTGTGGACCTAAACAAATAGCAATTTTCGAGTCTATTGACTATAAATAATACATACAAATTTTTTCGAGATTATTTAACAAATATATTCCACAAACAAACCTCTAAAAGAATGTTTTTGGGACTGTTCAAGACCAAGTCATCGAATGTCTTTCCCACGACAGTCAGAATGCTGGCATTTTTCTGGAAAATTACGAAGTTAGAAAAGACATTTCAAAGATTATTCAAGAAGTTGAAATATGAAAGTCATTCACATGAGAAACTCACGTTATCAGGAATAGGTTGCGATTTGTAGTATGGGCTCAGAGTCCCTTTCACAAGCCCTGAACAGAAACCCTGCGAAAACATATATTATATAGAATGATTGCTAACCCACAAAAAAAAAAAAAAAAATATGGTTTAAAGGGCTAATCATGAAAATGTTAGACACCCTTGATGTATTTCTCTTCAACAAAACGCATGTTAAAAGCAGGCATTTGTGGATTTCAGAGAGAACGGGTTTTTCTGTAATTAGATTAAACTCCGGGCAGTTTTCGAAAATTTCCCTCGTTCAATATCAGGACCATAAAAGAAAGAAAATTCTTACTTCAATGTTTCTTGATGTGGGATCTGACTCAAGGAGATACTTGGAATTGTATTTATAGTCAAAAGCTACAACCTACAGATGAATTAGAACGGGCTAAAGTTTAATAACTTCTCAACCAGAAACTGTATGATAAACCCGTGATTTGAATTTGATAGAGCTCTTACAACAGTTTCTTCAGAATCTTCTAGACCGAATAAAGTCAAGAAAGGCTTTGCGAGGTTTTCCTCTTGAATATCTACTGCAACGAGCAATATCTGCAATTTATATTAAAAAATCAAGTCATAATATTTAAAATCAATAACACTTACAGCTACAAATCATATTATGTACAAGTAGCATTTTTCTACATATAATGATTAAACGAGAAATGAAGAATAGCTTCTGACCTCAGACTTGAACTTCTTGGCAACTTCCTGCAATGACTCGGTAAGCTTCTTCAAGTCATCAGCCTCAGCAAAAACATACACCTGCTTGACATCAGAGTGATTAAGCAGCAAAACATACTTTACTGTAAATCAAATAAATAAACGAATGATGCAGCAAGATATATTTTACTGTAAACTGATGTGAGACGAACCTGCCGTTTATTTGTGCTGGAGAATACTTTAGCAGAGTTGAGCTCAGTCATTACTGTAACTAATGGGAACTTATTATTCTCCAAAAAGTGCAATATTCTGTCCGAGGTCAAGTTTCCATCTGTAACCACAAAAATTTACTCTTCAGCAGAAAAGAACCAAATGTAGGAAATTATGAGAAATTGAAGAGCTCGTGAATGGAAAGAGAACTAATTTTAATGCTCTTCTATATGCTGAACATTTGATATCAGATTTGAAGCTAAAGAAAGAACACTCTTTGAAGAAAGTGATTAAACAATGATTGATGCACTGATCTTCTCTAGAAGTGAAGCAATTTAACATCTCGTAGCAACTTCCAGTTTTATGTCATAATCATTAATATTTGCTCAAAATTGAAGTCATTTTGGTTCATATTATTTTCTTATGGTGTGTCTGTACATGATATGAGACTACTTTTTTCCTGGCTTAATATAAAGTTTAAAAACTATGAGCTACCTAATGACGTGTATTTTTCTGGTTCGCTTTTGACAAGACCAAAGAAGGGTTTGTCGAGCTTCCCAACAGGGTACAAGACTTCAGCTACTTCAGTGCTGCTCGTCTCGACAAACTGAATTTCATCATCGGCAGTTGCAGCTTTTGTGAACTCTCCATATTCAGGTCCCTGTCAATATTCAATTCATACGACTTGGTTCATGCAAATAGAAAACGAGGAAAGGAAAAGAAAAAGAAAAGGAAGGTTAAAGGAAGAAGAAAGAAAATAAAAGGCTATAGATCAACATTTTATAGCAAATAAACTCTGATACTATT